CTCGGATAGCAACCGTAGCCCTACTGTATAAGCACTTCAGCACTTCGATATACCAACAGTCAACTTCGCACCGCTGAAGGGACTGCAGCACCGCCCAAATTTCGACGGAATTAAAGGCTTTCTCATAGTCCACATACGCCAGACATAGTGGCAAATTGTACTCCTCGGACTTCTGTACAATTTGCCGAAGGGTATTTATGTGGTCTATGGTGCTAAAGCCTTTACGGAAACCGGCTTGTTCGTTCGTTGTTGAGGCTGGAAGTCATCAATTCTGCGCGCGAGACGATTCGTAATGACTCTCGAAAACAGCACGTAGACGCGGCTTAAAAGAAAAACCGGTCTGTAGTTCTTCAAGAGAGCGTTGTCACCTTTCTTGAAGAACAAGACCACCGCACTTCTACTACACGCCTCCAGTGCAATGCCACCATGAAGGACGGAATTAAAGAGCTTCTGAAGGACTTCAAGTACCGTTTTTCCACCCGCTTTAATTCCATCCTCGCCTGGGGCCTTGCCGTTTTTAAGGTGCTGGTGAGCCATTCTAATCTCGCTCAGACTGACGTCCGGTATATCATGGGAATAGTGTCGGATAAGATTCGCTCTTGGATCGTTACTCACACTTACGTGTGGCTCCAACGATGATGTGTACAGCTGCCCATAGAACCTCTCAATATCACTCAAAATCTCAAGTGTCCCGGAAACAACGCTGCCACACTCGGTCTTCAGCTTCGACAGTTGGCTCTTTCTGGCAGACAGATCTCTGGCAAAGACTTTGGAGCCCTGGTTCCGCTCCATCGCTTCTTCAATACGAGCAGTATTAGAGTTGCGTAAGTCGCGCCGCATGCATTTGGAGATTTGTTTGTTCAGTTGCCTGTATGCTGTCAAATCTACTGAAGATTGAAGCTTCATATCCCGTCTAAGAGCCATGAGATTAAGAGTGTGATCGGAGAGTTTTTGTGTTCTTCTGCGGCGGGTCTTGCAAAACTTAGCTCCGACCGCATGGACAGTTTCCACGAGCTTGTCATTCGTATCGTCCACTGCAATGCAATCTTCTAGGCACTGAAAACGGTTTCGTAGCTCGAGCTGAAAAGTTTCGGGACTTTGGATTAGAGCCCGAGGGGGACGGAGTGTTGACTCCAATAGAAGTGACCTCTCCAACTTAACGTTTAGGTCCAGTGTGCTTCTCACTATTCTGCGGTCGCCGCCGGTTTTCACCCTCGCGATCACTGAGACATCACTGAACGGTTGTCGTCTGGTCGTCATAATGAAGTCAATCTCGACCAGGTCCACTTTCTGTGAGGTCCTTTCTGGAAGAAAGAGTTCATCATAAAGAGTCCCTCTTTCTCCATGAAGTCGGCAAGCTGCTACCGAAGGGACGGTTCCGTTGCCCTATTCCGAATTTCCCTACTTTCAGCTCACCGTTCTCATTTGTGCCTAGTTTTGCGTTGAATTCTCCCATTAACACCGTATAGTGGGTTTTGAAGGAATGCATGGCTCTAGAGATATCCTCATACATTTCCTTCACCTCCTCATCGGAGTATGCCGAGGTTGGTGTGTAAACCTGTATGAACTTCAGAGTATAAATTACGCAACCCTCGTCGACACACTCCCAATCTTTACAACGTTGTTAACGAGAGACTTGTGGACGATAAATCCTACACCTCCTTGGGACAGATGGTCGCCCTCTCGGTGATAGAACAAGTTGCCCGATTCGAGGATTAGCGTGTCCTCCCCCTCTCTTCGGACCTCGGATAATCCTATGATATTCCAGCGGAACTTGTCTATCTCTTCTTCCAGCTCCAGGATCTTCTCGTCAGTCCTCAGGGTGCGTGCGTTATAAGTTGCCAGGTTGAGTTGTCGTAGGTGGCAACCGAACCTCCACCGGAGATTCTTAGCACCCCCTGCCCCGCCGTTACCATGGTCGCCACTGTAGACGGGAATATTGCCATAGTTGCCACGCTTGGCGAGCGGGTTGGTAACCGCAGTTTTTTATTGTTGTTTTGCTGTTATCAGAAAGATGCTGCTGCCCATCCTCTGCCTCAGTTTCCCTCTGTCGCCTCTTACAAAACCTACGGGAAGATATGGGGTAGTGAGTATTCTTACCCGCCACTACACGGGGAGTGTAAGCAACAACGTAAATCCTATATAATATACCTAACCGATCTCCCGACAAGCACGTAGTCAGTCTTAAGTTCTTAAGTCTACAGTCAATCAGTCTCGTTATAGTCTCAGTCTCATTCTATAGATTACTGTATAGTCTCATTCAAAGAGATTTAAATATATAGGTACATTATGAACATTTGCATACAAAAATGTTGAGTTCGCACGTATGTGACGCTCTCTAGCGAAACATAGCAAAACTACGCTTAATATTTATAAGGAAAACGTTTCAGCTATTCCCCAATAGGTGACGCTAGTAAATTTAAAGTAAAAACCTGTTTTAGGAAAGTTACCGTTTCGACATCAAAGTATCGATAATGTTGTTGAAGGTTACTTAGTTTGTAATGTTTTACGATATAATAATAGGGAATATACATGCTTTTTTTATTGTAGAAATCTATATTTTATTTTATTGTAGAAATCTATATTTTATTTTATTATATATAAATCTATATTTAAATCTATATTTTTTTCAAAACGTAGACGCATTTCATGGCACCAATCCACACGAGGGATCCATCGACAACAAAGCTTCCTCACTCCAAGATGTTGATGTAGGATGGTATAAATGCTCCCCGAACTAATGCCTACCATCTTTTCGATGTCCGTATATGTGATTCGTGGGTCTCCTCGCACCAACATTTCAGTATGCCATACATTTTCTGCCGATACTGCTATTTGCGGGGCCCCGGTTCTTTGGTCAATTTTAAGATTAATTTTACCACATTGGAATTCAGCAAACCACCTAAAAATTGTTGCGCGTGATGGAGCTGAATGCTGATTGTAACCGTTGTAAACTTAATTATTCGGTTAAAGCAAATTTAAAATCATAATATATCATAGCGCGCAAATTCACGGTTCCATCATTTTAAATGAAAAGCGCGGGAAGCGTTGCAGGAAATTTAATGGAACTTTATTTTTTTTTAATATTGAGCAATGTTCTGTATGGTATTATATATTTAATGTATGTTAGTGAAAGTTGGGTCTGGCAGAAGAAGCATGAGAGTAGAATAAATGCTGTAGAAATGCGGTCCTTAAGGAGTATGCTAGTGCTGAATCTGAATGACAGGGTGAGAAATAGTGTGATAAGACAAAAGTGTGGTTTGCAAGATGACGTTGTGACAAGGATTAAGAAAGGAATGCTTCGGTGGTTTGGTCATGTAGAAAGAATGAACGAGGAAAGAGTGACAAAGCAAATTTATGTTGCAGAAGTGAACGGCAGGGTCGGGAAGGGACGCCCTAGACGAAGGTTTATCGACCAAATCGGCGATACATTAAAAATGGGCCAGATTAGGAGTACCCTTAACCGACGAGCGTGTATGCGTAGATATATGGATGTAAAAGAGGCGAGAGAGGTGTATCAGGATCGCGCCAAATGGAAGTCCGTAGTCTCTGCCTACCCCTCTGGGTGACAGGCGTGTGTGTTTATGTATGTATTATGTATAATTTTCTGCTCACCAGATGTCGCTAGTTGACACTGAGGTAAAGTTTTTTGTTACATGGTGTAATTTAATTGAGAATTTGGTTTTTAATAAAAGTTTTTCCGTTTATACTCTATTAAATTAATACACAAAACAATGCGTCAGTGGTTTGCTCTTTAATTTTTTTTGCACATTATTAACTTTTTTAAAATTTTTGTACTTTTATGAATATCTGTTGTTTGGTTTATTTATTTTAATCTTATTAATATAAAATATAGTTAATAGTGCAGAAAGAAACAGTAACCTTTACATTTTCCGAATAAATTAACTTCCCCGCTATGAAATCTGTCAAATATTATACCTCACGTTTTAGTGGCGCCGCTCTGGTGGCAGAAAATGTTGTGGATATCCTCATTGGCTTAAGGAGTTCTATTTTTTTTTAAATTTGCTTTTAAGAAATATATAACACGGGTGCGTTCCATTTTTAAATTTTGAGCATCTTAAAACTTATTGAGTGACCTTATATAAGTAAAAGTTTGAGTGGGCAATGCCTTAGTCAATATATCTGCTAATTGATCTTTACTAGGAACATAATTAATTTTAATCATGCCCAACTCAACTTTTTCTCATAGATACTAAATAAAAGATTTATTATCAAGAAAACATTTTATTGAGAATCCAAACCCATAATATTAATAGGTTATGGGCCCAGGACACTGTTAATAGAAAGGAAAGGTAAAGAAGCATATTACAACAGCTACGAATAGTACGGAATATTCATTGACAAATAACCTAAAAATGGATACCACGCGGTCAATGAATCTCGAGAAATTTGATGGAAATAATTTTCGCCAGTGGAAATTCCAGATAAAATGCGCTTTAAAGGCAAAAGGAATTGATATCAGATTGCCAAGAACGGAACAAAACAGTGCTGAATGGTCGAAAAATGATGGTATGACAATTTTCATCATGACTTCGTCAATGGATTTCAAACAAATAACATTAATAGAGAATTGTGAGACTGCCAAGGAAATAATGACAAAACTTGAATCGGTATACGAACAAAAGAGTGAGTTGTGTAAAATGCTAGTCCATGAAAAGTTTTATCAGTATAAAATGTTGCCGGGTGACAGTGTAGCTCAACATATCTCAAAGGTGGAATCCCTGGCTAAACAACTAAAAGAGAGTGGTGAGACTGTCAGTGACATGGCCATCATAACAAAAATTTTAGGAACATTGCCACCTAAGTACAGATCACTACGCCAAGCGTGGATGTCATTGGATTCAAAACAACAGACTATTGTGAATTTGACTGCTCGCCTCTTAGATGAAGAAGCAAGTTTAGTAGGCGAAGAAGAACAAGAAACAGCTCTCCTTGTTGCTAATAAAGGATAGAAGTTGAAATCAAAACAAAGTGAGCCGATGCAGAGTGGAGTAAATCAAAATAAAAATACTAAACACAGGTTTGAATGTTATAACTGTGGAAAGCGAAGACACTTTGCTAGAGAATGTCGTGCTCCAAGAAAATTTAAGTCAAGAAAACCTCAACAAGAAGGTGCAGATATGTTAGCGTTTTATGTAGAGAATAACGCGTCTAGCACAGAAGAGAATACTTGGATTCTAGACAGTGGAGCCTCTGCACATATGACTTATAGAAAGGAATTCTTTATGGAACTGGTTGAATGCAGTCAGAAGATAATAACTTTAGGAAACAAACAGTCTGTAGAAGTGTGTGACATTGGTAAAGTGTTGATAAAAAGATATATAAATGGACAGTGGAAATCCAGTGAACTACTTGATGTGTTGTATGTCCTAAGTCTGCGAAGAAACTTATTCTCAGAAGGTGCCATAATAAGAAGAGATTACACTATTATAAAGAAAGATTCAAATGCATTGATCTATAAAGATAATCAAGTGGTTATGAGTGCCAGGATCAGAGAAAATAATTTATATGAGCTGAATATAAAAGCAATCACCCCAGATATTTGCAACTTGGTCCAGAATAATCAAAGTGATATCAAAATGTGGCATGAGCGACTGGGACATCTAAACCTAAAAGAAATTAAGAGTATGTGTGCAAATAATGTTGTTACAGGTTTGGAAATTAATGACAATGATAAAAACAATTTTGTATGTGAGGCATGTGCATACGGAAAGCAGTGCAGGTTTCCATTTCACAAATCTGTACGAGGAGAACTACAACCTGGAGACTTAGTGTACAGTGATGTCTGTGGACCAATGTCTTGCACATCAGTTCAAGGAATGTGATATTTTGTCTTGTTCAAAGATGCAGTAACTAGTTACAGGCATGTATATTTAATAAAAAACAAAAGTGATGTTATGGAAATGTTTAAGAAATATAATAGTATTGTGAAGAATAAATACATGCACAGTATAAGAATATTACATACTGATAATGGTAGAGAGTATGTAAACAAAGTTTTCAAGGAATATTTGGACAAAGAGGGGATAGTACATGAGCTAACTGCTCCTTATTCACCAGAACAAAATGGACGAGCAGAAAGAGAAAATAGAACCGTAGTAGAAAGTGCTCGCTCCATGTTGTATGCAAGAGATGTTCCACTGGAGCTGTGGGCTGAAGCGGTGAGCTGTGCAGTTTACATATTGAAGAGAACTTCTTCAAGCCAGACTCCGGGTAAAACACCATATGAATTATGGAATGGTATCAAACCACAATTAGGTCATTTGAAGGTGTTCGGCAGCGTTGGATATGTACATGTTCCAGATCAATTGAGAACTAAATTAGAAAAGAAGAGTAAAAAAATGATGCTTGTTGGCTATGATAATACCAATTACAGAATGTATGATGTAAATAATAAGTCAATCAAAATTTCAAGAAATGTGATTTTTGATGAACATCAAACTCCAGCAATAAGAAAGAATATTAATCAGATATGTATAACTGATGAAAATGAAGAAAAGATACAAAATGATGAAACTGAAGCAAGAAATGTGGATGAAACACTAATGGAAACTGTAGCATTACAATCTGATGACAGCTTATTGAGTTGCAACAGTGATGATCCTACATAGGAGCCGTCTCAAGAAATAGAAGATGTGCCACAGTGTAACATAAATTTGAAGCCAAGAAATAATAGACGTTTTGAAGCTAACCTTGTTGAATTGTCATTGCCTCGGACATATGATGAAGCCATACAAAGTCCACAGAAAAATGAATGGTCTCAAGCCATTAGGGAAGAATTATCTGCACATGAAGAGAACAACACATGGAGTGCGGTAACAAGAGCTGGTCAGCGGACCCTTACTACCAAGTGGGTCTTCGCAATCAAGAAGAATGAAGATAATCAGACACGGTACAAGGCTTGTCGGTGTGCACGAGGGTTTACTCAGATTAAAGATGTGGACTACCAAGAAATATTTTCTCCAACTACTTGGTATGACTCTATAAGAATTATCCTTTCTATTGCAGCAAAGTATTAGTTAGAAATTCAACAGTTTGATGTAAAGACTGCTTTTCTTAATGGGTATCTTGAGGAAAATATTTTTATAGAAGTGCCTGAGGGTGTAATTTTAGATAAAAGTTATGTGTTAAAATTAAATAAATCTTTGTATGGGTTGAAACAGGCCTCTCGTTGTTGGAATAAAAGGTTCACTGAGTTTTTAATGAAATATGGTTTTGTACAATCTCAGGCTGGTAATTGTATTTTTATAGGGGTTTTCAATAAGATAAAAGTAATTTTAATTATTTATGTTGATGATGCCCTTGTAATATCTTCTAGTAAACAACTGATCCAAGAAATTATAGAATATTTGAAACAAGCTTTTAAAATAAAAGTGATGCCATTGAGATATTTTGTTGGTATGGAAATTGAGAGAATAAGTAATTGTATCCATATTCACCAAAGAGATTATATAGAACAAATTATTGAGAGATTTTGTATGACAAATGCAACTCCAACTAGTACTCCAGCAGATGTCAATGTAATTATGACAAAGAATGAGGATGAAAACATTATTAATTTTCCATATAGGGAACTTATTGGTTCTTTATTATTTTTGTGTTCTGTTTCTAGACCTGACATATCATTTGCTGTGAATGTATTAAGCAGATATGTAAACAATCCTAGTCAGCAACATGTAAATGCTGTCAAACGTATAGTTAGATACTTAATTAATACTAAAGATTTGTGTATAAAGTATGGAGAAAGTGATGGCTTAATAGGTTACTCTGATTCTGATTATGCAAGTGATGTCGATACACGTAAGTCAACAACAGGCTATATTTTTATGATGAACGGTGGACCAATTACTTGGTCCAGCCAAAAACAAAAGACCATTGCTCTCTCCACTACTGAGGCAGAATTTGTAGCTGCATGTGAAGCAGCAAAAGAAATGATATGGCTGCGGCAATTAATGTTAGATTTAGGTGAAAATTGTAAATGTGTAACTATGTTTATTGATAATCAAAGTGCGATAAAACTAATAAATAATCCTGTTTATCATAAAAGAACGAAGCACATAGATGTTAAATACTATTTTATTAGAGAAAAAGTTGAGTTGGGCATGATTAAAATTAATTATGTTCCTAGTAAAGATCAATTAGCAGATATATTGACTAAGGCATTGTCCACTCAAACTTTTACTTATATAAGGGATCAGATAATTAGTTAAGAGATTTAAATTTTAGTGGGAGTGTTAAATTTAGAAAAAGAAAATTTAAATCTGAACGCATTCATTTATATTTTTTTTGGCAGCCAGATGGCGTTGTTGCTTTGTAGAACTGTAGAACTTCTTACCGTGAATGTGCATAGATACTAAATAAAAGATTTATTATCAAGAAAACATTTTATTGAGAATCCAAACCCATAATATTAGTATAGTATAGTGTATATATTCTTTGATACAGCAGACGCGTTATCTCGTATGATAAAAACTTAAGTACAAGTTTTTTCTGAACAATGTGATGTGCCGGAACAAACATATTTGCATTTTGTATCGGAAACATTGCTTTTAGATTATTAGATAGATTGCTTTCACTTAAAAAGGAAACCGTACACTATTTTAAGCAGAGTCATAAGTTACATAAGAGATGGCTGGCCATCTGAAGTGGGTAATAAAGAATTAAATTCATATTTAAATACAAAGAACGAACTTTATCGGAACTAGATTGTATAATGTGGGGTCACCGGGTGGTTATTCCTAGCGCCTGTAGGGCCAAAGTTTTAAAAGAGTTACACGACTCTCACATGGGTATTGTTAAAACTAAAAGTTTAGCACGTAGCTACGCATGGTGGCCGGGTAAAGATGAAGAAATAGAAAAGTTATGTCGGTCATGTCGAGTATGTGCAGAGACGGCGGATTTACCGCCCGGGTTCAACGTTTACATGGTGGTCATAGACGCTTGCTCTAAATGGTTGGAAGTAATTAAAATGAATTCCAAATCAGTGATTAAAGCATTACGAGAATTATGGTCGCGGTTTGGTTTACCAATACAATTAGTTTCAGATAATGGCCCACCCTTCACGAGTTCAGAATTTAAACAATTTTAGTGACTAACGGGATAGAACACACGTATTCAGCGCAGTATCATCCTTCATCCATCGGAGCAGCTGAAAATGCGGTTAAAACCTGCAAAAACGTAATTAAAAAGGGTATACAGATAGACAGGACAGAACTTAGACGTGGACGTTGCGCTCCTAAGATTTATTTTGGTATGTAGAAATACTGAACACTGTACCACGGTAGAGAGTCCAGCAAAATGATTACAAGGCCGCGCGTTACGTATGCGACTTGACTGCTTAAAACCCGAGCGAGCAGATCGCGTTCACACTTCACAGATACGTCAGCAGTTAGCATCAGGAGGTCTGCATCGGAATTTTAGGGAAGGGGACACAATTTGGTACCGTAACTATGGCGCGGGAAGGAAATGGTTAGAGGGTAAAATTCAGTGTAATTTGGGTAATACGGATTATGGAATTTTAGGTATCGACGGAATCTTACACCATAGACACGCAGACCAATTAAGACATGCGTTTAATGTTGATTTGAATGACACGCCCACACAGTGCGAGAAATGCAGGCGCAGTTCATTTAACCCATTTCTAAATGCAATGTCCAGGCAGAGCGATAAACCAGGCGAGGTCTCGGAGCAGTCAACAGGCTCGATGGAGGAGGGTGCAGGAGTCTAGCTGGGTGCGACAACACCAGATATTAATAATACCATACAACCACAAAGTTATACGCCCGGACTGACACGGCGCTATCCCCTAAGAAATACGGTCTCTAGAGTTTGATTGATCACTATAAGTTAATTATTAAGTGTACCCTGTTATTATTGTTTTTATGTTAAGTTATACATTGTACTTCATTGTTACTTAATGTATTTTGTAACGTTATATTATAAAAAAACTTGTAATTTTGTTAAAATAAGGAGGAAGGTGTAATATATTATATGGTTTGTAGAGTAGGTGGCATTTAATTATAAGAGATATATGTCAAAGGTGTGTAGATGGTTAGGAAAGGCTTGTGAATAGACGTGGAACAATCAACACAAGTGTTTTATTCTACAGTAACTAAAACATTTAGTATAAGAAGGAAATTTAAATTCACAATACACAACACAAGACACCTGGACATAATAATAAATAACTAAGCTAAATGAAACGACTACTGTACCTAAAACACGCAAAAAATACAATCGACGTTGATATGGCTTTTTCGCAGTCTTTGAGAGAGTCCTATGCATATACCTGGCAGTACACTTGAGATTGGCTGCGATACCACCAACTGCTGGAGATCTTTATGGCCATTTCCACATACAACACCCACATGAAGAAGTGGAATGGCGGGTTTCTTTACTCTGCTAACGCACTGATCCCTAGATAAATATTTTATTTTGTATTTTAAAATATTTATTGCATTCCCTCAAAAAAGAGATACTAAGGGCGGACTTAATGCCTAGAGGCCTTCTCTACCAGTCAACACCCATGGAATGGTGACAATTTGAAGTAGGTGTAGCAAGTGAAAGAAAAAAAACTGGCCAAGTGCGAGTCGAGCCACGCACGATATAAAAGTAGGGTTCCGTAGTTGCCCGTCACAATACGTGGGCTTTTTTGCTAATGAGCATAATAAGTGAGTTCGGGGTTTGACTGCAGTAAGGATTAAAAATGGGCCCGAATATGATAGTGGTATCTGAAGGACTTATTATTTTCAATACAGCCTTATGGGGATTGGCATTAAAAAATGTTAAAAAATCTTTCTGTTTTGAAAATAATACAAAAAAAAATCATATCATTCACATGCCAAGTCCGTACAAAGATGGTCATAGTTGACTATGACCAACTTTTTACGGATATTATGAGATTTCCATCTATGTACTGACTCATATCGATATCTCTGGAACCATGACGCCTTGACTTGAAATTTGGTAGAAATATTTCTTTCGTCGAGTAGACGTCAGCTATGATTCTATGAAATTTCCCCTGCTAAAATTATCCTATTTAAATTCTTCCGTATGTTATTTGCGTTAACTAATAAATAACGATCACGCTGGGAGTAACTTTCTCATTCATTTCTTTATTTATCAAGTTAGGCCCTTGAAGTAATCACTAACAAAGGAAGGTGATAAATTACGGAAGAAGGAAGAAATGTTAAATCGAAAATGACAGTGGAAATTATCAGCAGTAATCCCCAGATTGTTTGCGTTTAAAAAAAAACATTTATTTTATTAACAGAGTACCTTTAGTAGGTTTCGAGTCGAACTACAGGTCGAACGCCCCGTAAAATAAAGAGTTTCATACAAACTGTAACACCATATTTCACTTCCTTAGGGGTTGAATTTTCCAAAATTCTTTCTTAGTGGATGTGTTATAAAATAAAATATGCCTGGTGACGTTTTAAAAGGCAGGAACTGTGTGAATTTCGGATTTCTACGTCTACGGGTGTGCGTGGATAGATGAGTCAGTTACTCAGGACATCCTCTTTTATATTTATAGATAGTGTTACGGCCTACGGCTGCTCCCTTACAGGATCGAATCATCAGGGGCCCATGAGCTGAAGACTTCCCGAGCAGACGTAGGTCGGGCTTCAATGTGGCCACGTGGAATCTCTCTAATTCCACTAAAATATATGGGGGAGCGTTATACTACGGCCAGTCGACCGGAAGGAATTTGGACGAAGCTTACTTACCTATATCCAAGGCAACTGGTCCCTCCGGAGTCGGTCAGGTCGCATGTGGTTGTGTAGTGCAAGGGAAAGAATGGTGATGTGGTGTGTATCTGGGTGTGACTGATGGTGATTGAACCTAGACCTTAGCCGTCGGCAGCAGCCCGGTCGTCGACACCGCTCCAACTTGAGGGGGCCCTCCGAGGCTTGTCCACATTCACTTTCCTCGTTCTTCACGATGACAGTCAATTAACTCTATCGTACGATTTACTAACTTACAGAAGCCACTAACTATCGCGGGTTATAAGGTTAACACACAAAACGCACACGGAGTTTACAGTTTATTAAAGGTCACTACCGTTTCGCGTCGCAACAGTTAGTTCTAGAATATCAGAGGCCGCACTAGCTAATATTGCCTAATGCACTTATGCAGATTCTGAGTCAAACCCAATGAGTCCCTCGGAAGCTCTCCAGCAGGAATGCGCGTCACAATGATAGACCGTATATTTACTGGCCGCGCCGAATTATTCCGAGTTCCCTAACAGAATACAGCGTGCCAATCGTTAGCACCGCTTAAGGACGACTGCTGCGCTTGCGACCCGCGCGCCACTTGCCACGCTCGGCCGAACTTCAAACCGGTATCGCCGAGCTGCGCGCCCTTTAACGTCAATCCCGCAATCAGCTTTTGGGCGTAAACAGATACATAAGTTAGTATTAGTTGTTTATGTAGAAAAGATGATAGTATTAGTTGTTTATGTAGAAAAAATTAATAATTTTTAATCTGGAGGTAGCCGTGGTTAACTATGACATTGGAACGTCATACACCTCAGTCCCCCCCGTGACCATGGGTGCTGTAAAGTGCTTGAAACGTCGGGAATATAAAATAAGTTAATATATGCGATAAAATCCGTAAAATTAGTTTTATTTAAATGTGTAGTGTTCGCGTAAATATAAGAAATTATTATAGAAAAGATGTCGTTTGCGTCGCAGATCTGTTTTAATGGCTCAGATCTTTTTAACTTGATAGAGCCATGCTGCAGCTATGTTAATTGTATATACTTATAGTTGTAGCACGAATGGGGAAAGACCACGCTCTCACAAAATACCAGCGTAAAATAGCAGCTTAATGCTGCCGTGTTTTGTATGGTGAGTGTAGAGAACCGGAGACCCATTTTACTGAAAAAGAGGCATTCCATCTTAGTTCTCACGGCTGAGATGTTGATGTCTATGGGCCACAACTACAACTTACCACTGACTGTGTGCTCTTTTTTCACTTTTATTCTATAAAAGAAGGTTCTAAAATCATCCTCGACTATAATGACACAATAGCAGACAGTTCACATGATAGTGATTACAGCAGCCTAGGGACATGCGCAAACAACTTGAAGAATGGCTACTGATGTAGAGTCACCCCAGAGGACCAACATTTATTGTATCACTATCTACTCTACACGTAGAACTTGTTCTCGGTTGTTTTCAATCTAAACACAGCAATGAATGCTCAGCGG